TATTTATGCATAAACTAATCGTCAGGGTTTCGGCTTTGTTTATTATGCTGGATCAAAGAAGGCAGCTTTCTCTAACATGCTGAGAGTCTAGGCTTCCCAACGTTACTTTATTGTGAGACAGCATGACTAAATAGTTGAGGTGGGATATGATATGTGCTCTAAGCACAGGCTGACATAACCACCAGGATTTTTTTTTTTGTAATTAATAATAATAATTGAACTTTATTGATCTCACATTGGAGAAATTTACCTCTGCTTTGCCACTCTTTGCAGCCTCTTTTTTTTCACGTTTCAAATGAACACACTTTCATTAAATCCTTTACGGTAGTAAAATGGAAGGAATGGAAGAATGTGGAGCAGGTTTCTTCCCCACAAGACTTTAGTTAAAACATAAAGTTTAAGAAATTCTAAGTTTCCCTAAATATCTTTCTTGAATTTACTAAACAACATTCTGCCCCAAACACAAAGTGATTCCAGGATAATTTACATGCAAGAAAATCTAAGTTAAGACAGAAGAAGGGAAGGAGCAGGTTAGACTAATAAAGAACATTAGCAAACAAGCAAAAATAAAAAAAAAATTAAAGAAGCAAAAAAAAGAAAGATGGAGCGAATGTAACAAAAGATGATGACACATTGGGAAGGATGGAAGGACACAGACAGAAAGAACACAATCATAGACAATGCAAAGATTATATATTTTTCATAGTGAAATCAGCTTTTCTATGTTTTTTCAATGGGGGAATTAAATCCCATAATTTAACAGAGAACACAGGAACTCTGCTTAGTGAATCATTTAATTTTCTTCCCAATTTGAAAACAGAAAATTCTAATAAATGAGGAATATTTTGGCTTCATGATGTGTAAAATCTATGGCAACCAGAGGTGTCAAGTAACAAGGTAGAAATACTTTCTTACCTTACTTAAGTAAAAATGTTGGCTATCTAATACTTTCCTGGAGTCATTTTTCATTTAAGCTCATTTTTATTATAGCCTGTTGATATATAAACGATCATAATAATTAGTTTCAGACAATTAATTTCTTGGTGGTTGGACTCGGTGCTGCCCCAACTTGTTGCTCACCGCATACGAAAATAAATAGTTTTTTAAAAGAAGCACCCTTGCCAGTGCGTGTTTCCATCTGTTGTAATATGAATTAATATTAAAATGTGAATGTGTGCTGATTGAGCTGTTTGTGGGGAAGCCTTACTCATCCAGTGTCCTCCGCTGACCTTTGCCGATGGCCGTCATGCCCTGCTGAATGTTGAGCTCTGGTTTCCTCTGGATCAGCTTCTCTATGCTCTGGACGCTCACTGATCCGTTCAGGTGAGCATGGAGCTCCTGTTCACGCATAAAAACGCAAACTACTGAAGCTGCTCCTGGAAACACATTTCCTGCTTTTTGTAAAACACTAGAAGGTTATTGTTGACTCACCACCTTCGGTAACTCCTTATAAAACACATCATCTTCCATCTTATAGTAAAAAA